GACAGCATAGACATCTTGGAGATCTTATTTATGGATGACGTGGAAATCAATCTTCCACTTGGACTGGAAAATGCCATAATTGCATTTGCGTGTATTAATTTTTTCCTTCCCACCCTTGCTCTCCTCCAGTTGAGTGCCATCGTAAAAGGCCAAGTACGCTCTGCTAATTTTCAATTTCTGTACTCAATATCGTACATTGTTCTGGTCAATGTGCCGTTAGGAGCGATCAGAATTATTCTATGGACGCAGTATAACCAAGATGTGTCGGTGTTCATCGGGAAAAATATTATCGCATCAGCTATCTACATGTTTGACATCTACGAAACCTGTGGACCTGAACGTCCTCAACAGTGCCCAAAATGTGACAAGCATTTTGCACCAGATAGCATTGATGGACACAAAGCTGAGTGTTCAAATCCTGTCCTTGGTGATGATGATGTCGGTACTCCGATGACCTCTCCTTTGTCAGATGGCCAGTCTTCAGTATAATCAAGGACTGTAAGTGATCCCAGGGTAGAGGGGGGTGGGGGGACTGTATATGGTGGGTTTTGACAAAACACTGACCCCCTACTGACCCCCTACTGACCCCCTATAAAATCAACGGGAAAATGGAAATTGAATAAAGCCCAGAACTATCAGTGGGACCGATTCAAGTTCATCAATAAATTTAGCCTACCTGAAACTTCCAAGATGGCGGACGCATTGCAGATTTCCGACTCCCTTTTTATTTGACTGAAGGATTTGTCACGGAAAATCGACCACACAACAAGTTGGAATATCATCAAGCATGGTATTTGTAGCCATTAGAGAATTAAGCAATGAAAATAGCGAGGAAATTCTGGCAAATTAACACGCATGCGACTAACCTTGAGTGACACGCACACGATTACATCAACTGGAAGTTTATTTTCGCAAACTTGTAGCCCTAGGTCCCTCACCTTCCACATGCACAAACTACATGGCACATGGCTTTAGTCATGGATGGTAAGTGGCATTACTGTTTTTCATTGATTTGCCTCTTATTTTGCACTTTGTATATCCGAATTATGCCATGAATACATTATGAAATTTATAATACATTATGAATACATTCTGAACTTTTCCTTGCCGACGATCTGGATGTGGTAGAGCTTGTAGAAAGGTATGTTGGTTTTTGATAAGATTATCCGAGAATTCTACCTTGAGAATCCGTGGTCTTTTTGACGACTTCATGCACCAAGGAGAAATTAATCCATCGGGCTTGTCCAAATGGTTTATACTACAGTTACTACAGTTCTTAAAATGCAAAAACAAGGCAAGAGGCCTGGAACTACCTTATGAAATTCGTCTTCCGGTTGAGGTTTAGGCGCATGTTTGTGCCGCTCGCACGAGCAGTCCATCACAAGCCTTTCGCGAGCCTGCTCATTTGACAGCTTTTTTCTTTGCTTCATTTTCCAATGCAAACGAAAACAATATTTGATGATATTCAAGCTTATTCTGTGCTCGATCTTCCGTCAACAAAACCTCTACTGAACAGTCAAAGGAGAACAAGAGAGTCGGAAACCTGCAATGCGTCCGCCGTCTTAGAAGTTTCAGGTAAGTTAAATTTATTGATGAACTTGAATCGGTCTCATTGATGGTTCTGGGCTTTTTTAATTTTCATTTTCTCATTGNGCTGAAAAAGCAGTTTTCGCTTACCGTATGCGAAAAAAAAGTTTGCAGTGTTTCCAAGTAAGGTTGAAACTTTATTACTAAGCAAAAATCTCATATACAAAAATTTCGTTTCAGTGGCACTTTAACTACTTACAACTTCAGGTAGTTCTCACTACAAGGTGTTACACGATAATACAGATAGACAGATGGTTACCATGATTATTGGACTTTCACTTGACTGCTAACTGTCGGCTTTTTTATGGTTATGAATATCGTCAAATTCTCCCCTCACAAAATAAATAAACTTGGGTGTGGTCCTTAAATATTCTCTTAGTTGCTCACAACTGTATTATGTACATGTATTTTCTTGCGATTTAAACTTGCAATCTCAAAGTCACACTCCTCGGTTAAAATGTTTATCATAATTTAACTGTAACCAAAATAAAAGAACCTGTTTTATCTTGCTTAGCTAAGCAGGTTCTTACAGCTGTTTCGACAAAGGTTGTCCCGCAAAAGTGTGAAAGCGAACGCGGCAATGCCGATTGGTCATATTGTGGGTAGCAAGAGTTTGGCGTTGCTTGATTGAGGTTGACGGTGTCGAGCAGGAAGGAAGGATAAATTATGAATACTGTGATGGGAGAAGAGGCCCTTTGCAGGTAAGTCATCACGTGACCTATTTTTCATAAAATTATGGGCCATAACTTAACGAATGCCAGAAATGGAAAAAGCAGGTCGAAAATATCAAAATGGCCAATTTTGAGACCCCATCATCAAAGAATGAGATTTTATGACGGTCTGAATTTTTAAAAGAATCAGAAGATTTGTATGGAAAAAGTTGTTGGAGAGCAAGGCCTTGCTCTCCAGCAACATTTTCCATACAAATCCTCTAAATTTTCCGAAAATTTAAACTGTCGTATAAACTTACTCTTTAATTCCTGGGGCCTCAAACTTGGCCATTTTGGTACTTTCGATGCGCTCTTTCCATTTCTGCCATTCTTTAAATTATAGCCCATAATATAAAAATTTTCTAGGAAAATTTGGTCACGTGACCCCAGCTGCAAAGGGCCTATTTGCCGATATTCGTAAACATGAAAAAGCCAACAATTAGCAGTTAAGTGAAAGTCCAGTAACCATGGTAACCACCTGTCTATCTGCATTATCGTGTAACACCTCGTAGTGAGAACTACCGGAAGTTGTAAGTAGTTAATATTTACGAGCAGAATAACTGACTACCTATGATGGAATAGCCTAGAACAACAATGAGTTCATTGGCAGCCAATACGGGTTTAGGATTACAAGACGAAAATACAGGCCCCGGTTGTTTGAAAGCCGATTAAAATAACCCGAGGTTAGCGGTCATTCCGCGATTAAATTTCTTATTCCCAGGGAAACTAATCGGGGGATAAAATGGTGTTCCTGGAAACAGATTTAATCTTCGATTAACTATCCTTCGATTAAACTCCAATTAAGCCGGTGAAACCGGTCTGTGGTGGGAGAAAATGATGTAGCACTAGGGGAGGGAAGGGATAATTATGGCGGCTCCTACAAAATTGTTGTTGAATAAAAGGAAAAAGAAAGCCCAATTTTTATGTCAACTGCATTTGCTTTCTATAAGATCCAATAAAAATGCTGAAATTAAAAAGAGTGGTGATAAAAAATCTGTGCAAGATAAACGCTGGGCGAAGTTAACCACTTGAAAACGCTTACCGGTCTAATTTTCAGCCTGACTTGTTTGCAGTTTTTTACAATTTAGAAATTTAAAATAACTTCTATTCGGATGGGCTAATAAAGTAAGTTTGGCTAGGGGAAAATTATAGAAAAGTGGAAAGCCATAAACTAAGAAAAGAAGCGAAAGCGGAGATTGACAGTAAACGAAACTTTAGCAATATTTGTCCATAATACTCGCCTTTATCAAGCCAAAAAAGCCTTTAATTCCACCATTGATCTTTCCTTTTACAGCGGCTAGTAAGCGATGATTTCTACCTCTGAGAGCGAGAAAAAAAAAAACCGCGGGAAAACCGGACGCGGGATGGCTCGTCCGTGAGAGAATAGTAATATCTATTTAGGAAAAGTCGCCAGGTAGCCCGAATTGCTTTTCTTTTCTTACCGGGCCCGGCATTAAAGCAAAATCAACAAGCCGTAAGTCCGCCATTTTAATTTGTTTGTCTGCTTTTTCATTAGATTAGCGAGTTAATCCACCTCGCTAGGTGCGTTTAATTTAACCCCTAGTTTAATCCTTGGATAGTGCTAATCGAGCCTCCAGGAACAGAATTTAATCGAAGGATAAATTTATTGCTTGGATTAGGACGATTTAATCTTGGGTTAGCGCTAATCGGCTTTCGAACAACCGGGGCCAGGTGTTTTGTAAATTGTTCTTCGGTTACGCCCCCGGTCGGTGGTGGGACGCCGGATACCACTATTCTGTATTAGTATCACCCAACTAGTGGACTAATGCAAATCCTGCATTTTGATTGGCTACGCTACTAGGGGACTATTAGTAATAGTCATCGAGTAGNTTAGACCCTTCGCCCTCTAGGGCCACGGGTCAATAGCCCATTCGGCTTCGCCTCATGGGCTATTGACCCGTAGCCCTTGCGGGCTACGGGTCTAATCGTTAATTGGCCTACACTCTGGTTTTATTTTGGTTACGTTCTGAGTACGCTATTGGATTAAAGTCTACTGCTGGACCCAAATAACTGTTCTCTTTCGTCCCGTTGGATTGTTTTGCTGTAATAGATCCCGAAACCTCCAGGAGTCTGACAAACTCCGTCGCTGCAAGCGTGTTTCCCTCTGGATTGTTGTAACAAGGATAACAACTTAAGCGCCCCAAAAACCTGTTATCACAGTATAACTGACATGTTTTTTTTTTTTTAAATGGACTTGTATGATCTGACTTGTGCTAGTTAAAACTATCTTTTTTTTGTTATTATCTAATTGGCTCTAACTTTATGTGGGGGTGCTCGTCGGAAATTTTAGAAAAAACTCCTAAGAGCTTCCATAATCTTGTTTTGTGGGCGTGGATTGAAATGTTTTTCACTCCTAAGAGGTACCAATTTTAAAACAGCACATTGACCTTTTTCGGCTCAAATACCTATAAAAGGTACCGCAAAAGCTCCTGCTGTGGACCTTTTGAGAATGAACACCCTAAAAGATACCAAACCCGCTTTTTTAACCCCTAAAAGGACGAGCATCCAAGCGGTCCGTTTTATATTGGAGTTCAACTCCGGGCTAACTGGGGTAGCAAATATTACCAGCACAGCACTTACTGAGGGCCTAAATTGAATTTTTAACGTAATATATGTTTAATATTGTGCATACGATCTTTAGGGTTTCTAGGATTGAGGGACCAAACAAGATCACTCAAAAAGTCCCAGGCATTATCTTTTTTATTGAATACCATGTCCTGCATGATACATTAATATATATGATGTGAAGAAAATCTTTTTGAGCCTGATTGCGCAGTCGATGTCGTACTATTTGTTGTCATGGTAACAGCGTGGCATTTCTTCGAGGGCTTATTCCCCAGGCGTCGGCGTCGGCTTGAGAGCAAAGCATCTCTTGATGCGAACGAAGCAGCACAGTTGACCGGCACAGGCAGGTCTACCTTTCCTGCACACATAAAGCAGGCCTGTACAGAGTTTCTGTAAGAGGAACAGATATAATCAAGTAATTAACCTTAGTTTTGGGGCGGAATACACGATTCGAAATTTCCCAGGATATCTGCGGCTATGTTACGTTATCGTTAGCTTATCGTTACGTTATCGTTACGTTACGTTATGTGCTTACCTCTAAAGGAGTCATAGTAGGAAGAGGGGTGGGGTGGTTGTTAACAACGCACTTGAAGAAATTATCAATGCACGCTAGCTTTTTACAGGCATCGCTGCCAGCCAGCTTCCAGCATATCTTTCCTTTGACAACGCAAACTACCTGTGAAAAAAGAATGCTTTCATTTAGGTACACAGAATAAAAGAGTTCTTAATTTTTAGGATGAATAACGACTGATTTCAGAAGTTATAATCTTCAGCTAGTTTCTTATTACTGAATATCTCTTTCAGTTGTTTCTGTGTTTTTGTTAGCTGGAGACTAGCTGGATTCGAATCCGGACCGAGCACTGTTCTCAGTTCAGCACCATTTCTTCAACGACTTCAGAATTATACAAGAAATGCGGAAATTAAAAAGAACCCCTAAGAGATGCCAAGATCCCGCTTTATGGGCGTGGCTTGAAATGCTTTTCACTCCTAAGAGGTACTAATTCTAAAAGAACACATTATCTCCTGTCATATTTTTTTTTCAGCTCAATACCCTAAAAGATACTGCAAAAGTTTCCGTTGTGGACCTTAAGAGGCTGAGCCCTAAGAGGCACCAAAACCGATATTTTTTAACCCACAAGGTATGACGAGTATCCCCTACCTTTTTATATAGGAGTCCCCCTCCCCCCACCCCGCAGGCACGAAAGAATCAGAGCATGAACTTAGCATAGAACAGAACTTTGCAGTTTTTTAATGCATTACATTATTAGCAGGGTTTGTGGAAAACTGATTGTCATTACGAGAAGAGATAAAAGATCAAAAATAAAATCAGTTCATCTATATCGACTTACCGCCCACAATGGTGCTTTTCGCTTATCGGGGGAAACCAACTCCTGAGTATCTTCTGGGAAGCCCTGGTCTCTCAGAAGCTGTTTCATGTGCTCGTCATGGCGTTCGTCTAAGAAATCAATCACGGCCTTATGAAACTCAGCTTCATTAGCAGAGACAAAGGCTGCAAAGGCGCTGATGAGAAGAAGAGCTGCGAGAGTCTTCATTGTGGCTTCAAGCGATGTGTGCAATTGACACTGTACCTTTGAGACAACGAATGCCCCTTATATATAATTGAGACGTCCTTACTTAATTTTGCGGCTTAGCAGAACACAAAGCGTTCTGGGGAAAATGGTATTTGGACAGCTTTGCTGGTCTCGCGTTAACTTAACTTGAGCGTGTGGCAAAGTACAAAAGGCTCCCATTTACACAGATGTGAACAAATACAACGAGAAAGACACTTTCGCTGTAGAAATAGGGTGACAAAGAAGCCTGTCGAAGCTAAAGTATTTGTTGATGTTTATTTTCAAACTGAAGATTAGTGTTATGCAAAGTCGCAGCTGTGTTGCCATTTTGCTCAAAAGAGAGAGACCAAACATTTGTTGAAACTTGATGACCAGCTCATGCAATTTTTAATCACTTACAAACCTTGAAGTATCTTATTAACTTCAGTTTGATGAGAAATATGCGAGATAATAAGTGTTAAGTCTCGGGAAATTAAGTTAAGAATGTTGAATTTTGCCTCGGGATATCTGTTTCTGGCCGGCTACCACATCCTCAGCGTCAAAAGACTACTTTCTTTCCTTTACACCTCCGCCAAAAAAAAGAAAAAGAAAAAAACGAAATTAATTCTGGTTTAAATTTTCCATAACATCGAAAACACTCTGGAAAATGTTTGCAGGGGCAACTTATAAAGTATGGCAGTTTATTTCCTAGTATTTTTCAATCCATCTCCCACCAGCTTGCCATTTGTTTCTACGTGGCAAGTTATTTCTTATATATATATTCTTCTGTAATATAATGGCATCGCAGGAAATTTGATTAAGTTCTCGCCTCAACTCATGGGGTTTACCTTGATAGTCTCAACAGTTTCATCCAAGTTCCTTATCGATTAGGTTCGGTAAAGGATTATCGATGTCTACAGCAAAACATTTCTACAGTCAAAGTTTATTTTTGAATGAAGTCAAAGATGAAGAAACGACCTAACATTCTTAAGCCTAATGAGTCAAGATGAACATCAACAAGCCAAAAAAAACAGTGCTCTGTTGAAGGCTAGTTTCTTTGTTTCTCACCGGTATATTACCAAAAGGTTTACAAAGCTTCACGGATTAAGAGAATAATTCAATGCTGTTAGTCTACACAAAACAGCTCCCTATGTTACGTGCCAGCAGTTCCAACCCTTCAAGGACTTTTTACGCGTCCCAAACTCGAAATGTACTGAAATTCTCTTTCACTGGACGATTTGATCAAATTAGACTTATTTCTCTCCTTCGTTGTGAAGTTTAGTGATTTGATATTTGTTCAGCTTACCATGAATTCGACGCAATTCTCGTTGTTTGTCCCCCTAAAGATGTCATTGCAACAAAATATTTATCATGGCTTTCGAAACATAAGGCAGAAAATGAAATCTTTTTCCAGTTTTTAAAGAGGAGACAAATAAAGTTTAGAAATTTGAATCCAAACTGTCCAAAGATAAAAAAATAAGAAAAAGATAAGAAGGAAAAAACACGAACAAATACAGTGAAACAGTCCGTTCACAGACGTTCGTTTTCCATCAAGATCCGGAGATTAACTGCGAAACTTTACCAACTTCAGTTTAATAACATTTAATCGTCCGTTACTTTTCTACTCAGTGGCGAGGAAACACTTGGGGCACTTGGGAATTTCAAATTATCTTGTTTAGCTTTGCCTCCCCTAGACTCATTCTTCATGTTATACCTAACTTGTGGAGTTTCAGCGACTTGCTATTTGTTCAGCTTAATATTGGTTGGGCCCAAGTTATCACCAAGACTTTCAAAATGTTTGGACTTTTCACTGCCTCGTTCTTTGTTTCGAGAGGATGCTTTGTTCCCTAAAAGTGTTGAGTTCTCATAGTATTTATCATGGCTTTTGCAACCGAAATATTTTCCAAAGCAGCTGTAAAAGAGGAGGAGACGGAAACAGTGTTATTAACTTAGCAGGTAAGCGAACAGGAAGGCGTTGTATTCAGTTTGCTTAACGTGCTGCAAACAAAGTAAATATTACTTGTGACAGAGTGCCCTGGCAAAACTTAATAATAAACCGAGGGCGGGGTGTGATTCTTGTTACAATTCTTATGCTAACTTCCACGTTGGCCGAAATCTTTAGATATTTTCTCTTTATTTCTGAATATTAGATATTCGTTTACATCAACAAAAATATGTATTTTTAAATTTTTTTTGGACTTCAGCAAAAATTATACATAACAGTCAAAAAAAATTAAAATTGAAACTTGGCCTTTCTAAAGGTGTAAAAGCTATGATCATCATTTATCAGCTTGGTTTAAAATAAGTTCAGATGTTTGACAGGCCGGGCAAATAGAACTCAAAAATTTAATGTCTTTTACGAAGCCGTTGTTCGTTTAGACAGTGTTCTTTGTTATCCTATGTACACGTATCTTGGCTTTCAAAACGGTTAACAAACACACGAAAAGAATGAGAAATTAAACATTTGACTAGCTGTGGAGTATTTTCTTACATTTGTAACGCTATATTCCATGGTAACTATACCGCGTTTAAGATATCTTCAGAGTTCAGATTCAGTAGTTTATCTAAACTCTTTAAGTAACGATGTGGCGTTTAAGATATAAGGACTCGAAAACCCCGGAAACTTTTCGGGCCCGCGAAGCCATTTTTAGGTAATCGGTATTTAAAGATAAAGAAGTGTAAACGCCTGAAACTTCTTGTATGAAGGGAACCTCTGTTCATATTAAGAATATGTGAATAAAACAGCTCTGTAATTATAAGGTTCGAGTTTTTGCTATGGCCTTCCGGACGCGAAAACTTTTCGGGACCTTCGGAGAAATGGGCCCCTGATCCTAAAAGATCAGGTCTTTGCAGTTTAATTTGCCTTGGATCTAAATGCTTCAGCCCTTTTACTTTTCTCTTTTTATTCTTGTACTTAAAAAACCGTATAAAAATAGTATTTTCCAGGGAATTTCTCAGGGTTGGGTGGAGGCACTGGGAATTTCAATTATCAGTTCGCTTTCTGCTTATTTCGCAGCAATCAGTGAAAATTTCAGCCCATTTCTAAGTTATCAGTAAATTATGAGTAATTGGCAGCAAAGCAAACCAAGACAAAGACCTCATCCAAAACGTGCACAAAAAATACATTTTTACGTCGCCGTTTCTTAAAAAGTGCATTATACGCGCGAAAGCATGTGGTAATTACAACTGAAGAGGGGAATTTACCTTAAACCAAAATTAAAACCGTTTTTCGTGTCGTGAGCAATTTCTGGACCACTCTTATAACTTTATATTTCACAACAAACTTATTGAAACAAGCTTTGCCTGTGATCTAATGATAACTTAAAATAATTGTGATGCAAAGACAAAAGACAGTGGACAGTGGGGACGAATGAAATTTACCCCAATGTTGAACAAATACAACAAGGACACTACTTTTCCTCTAGGTAAATAAATATCCGCCAAGACATCTAGCGAAGCAACAAAGAACGATCAATCTGACCAAATTTTACGAAATATTTTGTTGATTCTCTTTTGTTAAGCTAACTTTTATGCTTTCCAAAATCAGAGAAATTGGACAGTTAATGTTGAAATTTGCAGATTAGTTTTCTTGCAAAGTCGCAGCTGCCTTGGGTCGGGAACAACTGACTGAGAAAGTCAACAAATATTTGTTGCAAATACTTTGGTAATGAGTTCAATCATGTTCTTCTTAGGCACTTAGAGACTAAAAAAATTAAACTCGGAATATGAATTTTAACAAACTACAGGAAATACGAAGAGTTATGGAACTGCGAGTATAATTCAACTAAACCTTAGAAATTTGAATTGTACTCTCAGTTATGCAACACATTTATTTTTAGAAAAAAAAACTCATGAGACCTCTTCCTCTGGTATGTTTGTCCCTTTTCTTGACACTTCTCTAATTCAGACCACAAAACTGATTCCTCAATGCTCAGTTTCATAACTGACCCAAAATCAGTCCTCCGAGATACATCTCGGATACAAGATCTTAGCGACAGATATCTTTTTGTGTAAACTTTTGGAAGTTAATATCACCCCTCATGCTTGTGATGTTTAATTATAGAAAAACAAATAATGTTAAAACCAGGATGTCAGAGAACAAAACATGACTTATTTAGGAAAAACTGGTCAAATCCTGAGCCCAATTTAATAACAAAAGGATCACAAACCCATAAATGCTTCTCGTACTCCATTTGTGAAAGATGTCGAGCGCTGCCCTTCAACTGAGTTATGTACAACTGAGATGTAGTAAAACGTTCCTAATGGAGGATTAAAAACACTCTCTGTGAAAGCCTCACTTTCTTTATTTCATAGTGGTGTGATGTCCAACGACTTTACCGACGAAATCAAATGCAGAAGCAGACGTAGATAGCTCATTGATGCATTATAATCAGAACATCTTCAATCTTCCTTTAGTTAAAATTCAATTTGAATAAGAAATTTTCATCACCCTGTTTACGTAAACAGTTTTTAGAAGAAGGTTTAACTTATGTCTAAATCGCCCCTTCTAAAGTTTTTGCTGTAGTTGTTACAGCTTTCTACAATTACGGCAACTTTTTTTAAAATTTGACATAGATTTCCGAATTTTGAAGTCATTAGATTACACCTTAACGGTTGCTAAATGAGTCAAAACCTCTTATCCAACTGAGGTAGAACAGAAAGTTTTTTCAGAGAGGATCAGTTTGAAAAACACGTAACCTCTGAGAAGACATTTCTCTTTTTCCTTCAAGAGGAGGATGGAAAGTAGTATTCGACACGAAAAAAAATGAAAAAGAAAAAATTCCAAATTTCTATTCCCGAAGCATGATTTGTGAAATAAGTTCGGTAATTTGTTCACGACACGTTAATGACACAAGTCAAAAAAGCAATCTGATTTGCACGAAGTTATGTTAACAAAATGCGGTAACATAACAAAAGATTGTCTGGGGGCTACAACATATTGACATTGCAGTTTTAACATAGCAAAAGAGATATATGTATTACCGGTTTCTCGATAAACATGCTTAAAGTCGACAAAGTAGTTTTAAAGCTGTTTAAATACTTCTTGGGAGCTTTTGTCCCCGGTTGGTGTCACGAGGCGTGCCCGGCGTTCCCCGTGCTCTATATAAACGAGCGCGCTTATTTCTTTTCACATCGTGTTTTCTAAAAGCACAGATAAGAGGCGTCAACATGAAGACAATACTAGCTTTGCTGTTTGTCGCTGCGGTGGCCGCGTATACCCAGGCGCAGGAGTTGGAATACCATCCCCAAGCCATCATGCATTATTTGGAGATGGAAGATCGTGAAATGGTAAGCAAGGTTCGCAGTGTTCTCAAAATGAACGACGCGGAACCCAAACCCACCGTACCCGCCACTGGAATGCCACCGAAATTCGTAAGTAGTCGTAAATTTTAACAATTAGACAATATAATTTTAACAAATGGTACGACTAGCTAGCTTTCAGCGTTGTCGTCGCCTAAAATACTTATCTTTCGGAATGCCACCCAAAGTCGAAGGTAGTCAACTGAAATTTTCTTGAGATAAGTGAAGTTTTTGGGTTACCCTCTCCCAGTAATAACCTGCAAATTAGTCCTCCGATAAAGCCGGAACATAATGGAAAAAGTCAAAAACCTGACAAAATGAAACGTTTGATATCATCTATGTTTAAGGCAAAAAATCCCAAAGTTTGTAAATTTTTCACTTTCGAAATTTTGATTCTGTTTCTCGAATTTTATTTCATAAACGGAAACATTTTATTTAAATTGTTTCATTTGCAGTGCTATTCTCCCGCATTTTCTGGTCCATTTGTTTTTCCACACAGCATTTCCCTTTTGCTGATAGAAGTTATTACCCTGGTATCTGAATTGATCGGATCGAAGCTAGCGAAGTCTAAAAAGGAAAGTTGCCAAAAACTGTAGGGTTTGTTTCTGAATTTTTCAACAGAAAATCTGCATAGGATTGGCCGTCATATGTCACAAGACAGCTAAAGACGATGCTTGCCGGCATCTAAAGTGCATCGAATTAACTAGCAAGTGTTTTGCGAAGGCTGGTCTGACGATCGAGGACCTACCCGAGAATATGGTAAGCACTGTACTATACACAATTCCACCTGGGCTGTTACTCTGTTCTGGTGTAGGAACTTGTGTGTCTCTGAGATATTTAGAGTTCTGCCAGCAGGGACTTATGCCCCTGGCAGGTTCCAACAAGCCGGACAGGTCTGGGGTAGGGGGTGCGGGGAGAGGCCAGACGAAAGACAACCCCAATCCCTCCAGGTTGAGATTAGGGCTAACTACCCCACCCTGTCAGCCGTTGTCGGACTTTCGACGTTGCGACGATTTTACAAACTAAAACAGTCTACAGAGAGAGGTTGTATCTATTACGGTAGACTTCGTGTAACACAACATTAGACAAATAAGGTGACATCCATTTTACAAATGTACATTATTATCGTCCACAATAATGAATTTAGCCCTAAGATTTGTGGAATTTTTGCTATATGCGACTAAGTTTTCGTGTCTGTTTTCCGTATATTGTGGAGGCCTCCTTGAAAAGTCATTAATATTTTCATATAGTGTGCGGGGATTTCGCTGGGCTATTTTGGACTTTCTGTGATGGAGTGACGTGCCTGAGAAGAGTTTTGACTGTAACGTTTCGTAAAACATCATATTAGTACGAAAAAGTGGAATATTACTCAATGGCCTCTATACGTATTGTTCCTGTCCAATTTAGCAAAGAGCGGAATCGTCCTGTTTTAATATTTTTCTTTTCTGTTTGTTATCTATTTTTTTGTTCCTCTAGCAATTTACTTTATGCGGAATGTAACCTGTTTCTTTCCTTTTGTTCTTTTTTCATTTCAGAAAAAATGTCTGCCGATCATCCCTTGTTGCTTGGTGGGTAGCGGGTCATGCGAGGAGAAGCTGTGTTGCTTCATGAGGTATGGAGAATGCTTGAAGGAACTTGGAGACAAGGAAGAGTAACTTTCTCCACTGACCCTAAAACCGAAAAAAAACCGTGATAGAGCCTGCACGATAACCGACAGTAGTTTTGTATCGATATCAAGTTGTCATGAGTGAACAAATGTTGCATTAAAAGAGCCTGATTGTTATAAACCTGTGTTTTGCGTTGATTTTCCTGCAATATTTCACATAAAGTGGAAAGGTCGTGGTTACTTCTGGAATTTGTTTCAGCGAAGCGAAGAAATGCGCATTTGATATACAGAACATGAAAACATCAAACATCAAAAAAATCCTACACATCGATGCCTTTTTCACCCCTCCCCACTTCCATTATAAGCCCATGGACTTGGATTTTTGGTTGTGATGGTTGAGGTGTAAATGAAAGCTATTTCTTTCGATTATTGTAAGTCACCATTAGCTTTACCTTGCATATTACTCTCGTACGCAACGGGAATTTTTCAGAAGCAAACTCCCAATTCTGTTCCTGATGTATAATAGGCGTCAATATAACAAGCGCTCATATTGGTTTAAACAACCTCCTTTATGAGAGTACAAAGCACAGAGCTTACAACTCTTGTGATCGAATTCGCGCCATCCACAGCCGATTTTGTACGAGTGAAGTTTGAAGCAAATTTCTTTACAAAAGTAAAGCTTTCTTATAAAACAGGTTGAACAAAAATGGCTTTAGCGTGCTGTGTTCTGTTATGAAACACTCAAGGAAGTGACAAGAGCACCCTTTCTTGCTCTGGTAACTCGTAACACGCTTGTAACTTCAGCTCTGGTAACTTGTTACACTGGTTGCATTTAAAGGGTCTTGGTGCATCGCCATGTTCTTTTGTATGCTGGTTAAGACGACCAAACCCGCGACAAGAATGTTTTTCGAGTGCTGACATCTCATAGAAACTCAGCGCGCAACCACTGCATTTGAACTTTCGTTCAGGTCTGTGTTTAGAGACATGTTTCGTTTTGGATAAGAGGTCGCTGAAGCCTTCACTGCAAGTTGAGCACTTGAAAGGCATTTCCAGACTCGTCGAATGGGAAAGAAAGCGCTTTCGGAGTAGTTTGGCGCTTTTGAAACTCTCGTGACACTGACTCCAGAGGTATCCTTTGTCTCCAATCTGTTAAGATGTTTTTTAATTGGTTTGAGGCTCCACAAAACTGATGCGGTCTGACGACTGGTCCATATCATCAGCTGCAGAAACAGGATTGGCCTGTATTGTTTCCATGACAATCTGGTCAGATTATGAAAAACGTTGTGCAATGCGCAACTGCGTTGCTTACTCGGTAAAGCCGGAGGGTGGTCCCCAAAAAATCGAGCTCCCAAAAATGTGCTATGTAAGAGAAGTAGCCAACAATAAAACATACAAAATTGACAAACATGACAAACAATCTTGAATCCAACTGGTCGAGACTGGTTTATATCTAAACCAATCTGGTGAATCGTATCAATAACAAATTCAAGGTTAGCAAGCCTGTGGCAGACATTTTTATTCAGTGGTATACCTTGAGCAGAGCAATAAAACTTGATGTCTCTTATGCACGTGGGACCGAAACTATATCCATTGTTATGGCTTCGATCAGAAGAAAGCAGCACTGAATAAATACCCAGAAGTCCCTTCGTGTCAATCGAATCTATTTTGTTGAAGATATTTTTTAGTTATACAGTATTTCCTTTTTAACTATACAATATTTCCTGCCAGTCGCTTAAAAATTAAAAAAATCTAACTTTATAAAGCTCATAGTGAATACAAAATGCCGATTAACCCATATCAATGAAAGCTAAAAACAAAAAGGCTAACGGTACGGTACTGAAGAAAGAACAGGGCTGCCATGAAAACGGATTGGGACGAGATGAGGGTGCGGTCAACGTATTCGCCTGATCTTGGACTCTTACCCCAAGAGAAAAGGCTAAAGGCCGACTGCAAGCAGTCTACTTATTTGGTTATGTTTCAGCAAATTGCTGTTTGACGGAAGGTATTTTTAAATGTTATCGTTGACAAAAAGAAAGCAAACCCTTCGTGCGAAGGACCTTAGTTTGCTTCTTAGACTTCTTGTGTTCCAGCCAGGTTTCGGCTCTGCCCCGAGGCCCAAACCCTACCGCTATCCCGCTATCCGAGAGATATTCCCAGTTTTCAAAACGGCGCTCGTTGCAAAAATATTAGGTTCGATTTCCACCGCTCTCTCGTGTCCGGTATACGTTCCTCCCCGCGGGAGAGGAGCGCGGGCTCCTTTCCTGAACAGCGGCTGGTAATCGAGCCTACAAAAATATTTAAAGGATAATAAACACGAAAATATGCTCGGATATTTGTCCTTGGACATTATCTGTTTCTAATTCCTCGAAGTTCATGGTGTTCCTCGAGCTACACTCTCGGAAACCTGTTCGGTTCTCGGACTGAGGTAATGTCCGTGGACAAATATCCGAGCATATCTTTATATATACTGCTCCAGCATGAAAAAGGTACGCCTTTCGGCCGGAAATTGCCGTGCTAGTATAATTCATGCATTATAGGGAGAATCATGACTGTATGTCTAAAATAAGAACTTACTAAGAAGTTGAAGTGGTTTAAAATAGCAGTTTTTCTGAGTGATGATAATGAAATTTGGAATGCAACTGATGATCTCGTGACTGTCTGTTTCTGAACATGACGTCATTGCCCTCGATGCTATGTAGCTTGATCCGACAACGTTTGATTTTCTCATTCTTACTAACATGGGTTTCGCAAAAGCGGTCTTGTTTATCTTCAACTTCATTTATTTGGTGAGTAACTCCAAAAATATTTTGTCAAAGGCTCGCATTGTAGCTTGAGTTTGTCTACAGTGCTCAATAGTAAGTAAGCTAAGCTTGCGTAAATTGATCGATTATGCTTTGCGCAGTTTTCTCGGAAACGCTAAGTGAAGGAAGCTGAAATCATGCAGAATATTTCGATTTGGCAAGGGTTATTTTACAAATGCACTTTACCAAAATGTACCCAATTATATTTTTTAATGAAATTTTTTTATAGCCATTAAGTAAGTCGGGGAAGTGAAGTATAAAACTACCAGGTTAGATTCCTTTGTGTTCAACCATTTCACGGACCATGACCAGCTGCAAATATCGACAAAGCTAGGTAGGCTTTTAAGTTTGTAAGGAAAGCAACCTCACGCAATATTATTATACGGCTAACCTCGCCTCATTTATTTGTGTAAGAAGGCCTTAAGCAGAGCCTTCAAGTTGATTTGTCGCTAAAGATTGAAATTTTGAACGGATTACTGTAGTCCTCCATTTTGACAACGTGTGCTCGCGGGAGGGGGGGGGGGGTACTCCCTTATATGGGCTATATAGGTATATGCGGCCCCAAAAGGAAGGGGTTTTCAGCCGTTTTGGTCATAAATAGGGTATCGATTTTGGCCATTTTGGTCTTAAATAGGGTATGGTTATAGCACTCTAGTCTCCAATTGGGTATTTTTCTTAGAAGAAGCTGCTTTTTCATCATTATCAATAAGACCAACAAAAGCCCTTCATAACTTATGTTTAGGGCAACTGTGCGAGGGGCAATGGTCATAAATAGGGTATCAATTGTGAGTGGACAAATATGAAGTAGCAATCTACACCGCAAATCAAAAATTTTAAATGCATGAGATATAATTGATGATTTCCTTCAAGCTAAGCGCAACAGTAAAAGAAACATTTATTTTAATACATTAATTTAAATGACACATGGTTGACTTCAATGTATCACAATTTAATGAAAATTATTTAAATTCTGCTTTGAGATATTTTTATTTAATTAAATGCTGTAAAGAAAATGTCTTGAGGAAATGTTTGTTGTACACACATGTAGCATTTTCTTTAATTTGCCTTGTGACCTTAATCGTAATCTCTCCATTTAGTTTGTACGTATGTATGTAATATGCAGTCTTAATCCTTTTTCAACTAAAATTGCCAAAAGTCTATTTTGTTAAACAGCTCCAATATTTTGTGTTGCAAGGAATAACTTTTTCCAGAAATTTTGTTCTTTTTTTCTGATTGCTGTAAATGCAGCCTGGAAGTGCTCATAAGAAAATCCTCGTGGGTCAAAATGTAGTCACTGCATTGAAATGACCATCCATATTGCACAAATAGAGCACTGGGACCTCAATTATTTTTATCTCACTTTTGTAATGTCAGACTGTAAGAAATTTTTAAATTAAAACTCCTTCCTTTTCCAAGTAATCATCTTAAGACCAAGGCATACATGTAAAATTAATATACAGCAATTTGCTGTTTCACTTTCTAGGTTGCAAAAGTAAGCTTATGTAAGTTAAATATGTTGCTTGCCATGCCCCAAATCCAATGAAGCTTTAGTTTACACAGCTTTTAGTTTTAAAACACGTTACTATCTTTTTGTGTGTGCGTTTATGTATTGAATTTTGCCACCTCTCAGTCCAAAAAAATGCAAAGGAAAAAAGAACTTGGTAATATCAAGCCATCTTGACCTCATGCTTAGTCAATGAATATATGTCACTGAACTAGCGTGAGTCCGTGTTGAAGAAATATTGGTTGTTTTTTGCAGGTTTATGGACCAAGCCGCAGGCCAGGTCCATAAACTGACTAAACTTACTAAAAAAGAATGAGACCGATATTCTCCAATACAGGCTGAACAAGCAAGATAAAAAAGTACTTATTATAATGGCTCTTTTTAATGTGCTAATGAATAAATTTGTCTCCTAATTTAAGTTTCTCACATCGCTTTTCTGAATGTTCAACTGACTGTTCATTTTGTGCTATTATTTGAAAAAGTGATCCGCTGAAATTGCTTTGTGAGCGGTCCACCTTTGCAGTCTGTATTACAAAATTCCAACCACTAAGAGAACCAATCAGTATTGTCCTTTTAATCACTGACCAGTTCAGCCATGCATACATTCTAGCAGTCTTCTGTCTAGGATTAACTAAAATTGTATGCATTAAGCTATGTAAAATTCTAAAAACACGTTGATCTCTTTAAGGGTGTTGCTGCAGCTATCATTTTTGTGGCAGTATGGTTTATTAAGAGATATAGTGACATCACCAAGATTACAACAGATGAATACACACTGGTACCCTGTGGAATTTTGGTTGGAGTGGGAGTCCTGATCTTTATTACTGCTTTGTTTGGATGCTGTGGAACATGTAGTGACAACAAATGCTGCCTTTCAACAGTAAGTTTCAAATTCAACTACCATATCTCTGTTAGTATCAATCTTTAATTTGGGTTTCGACAAAGCACTGACCCCCTATTGACCCCCTACTGACCCCCTATAAAATCAATGGGAAAATGAAAATTATAAAAGCCCAGAACTATCAATGGGACCAATTCAAGTTCATCAATAAATTTAGCTTACCTGAAACTTCCAAGATGGCGGACGCATTGCAGATTTCTGACTCCTTTCTCATTTGATGGAAGGATTTGCCACGGAAAATCGAGCACAGAATAAGTTGGAATATCATCAAGTATGATATTTGTATCCATTAGAAAATTAAGCAACGAAAATAACGAGGAAATTCTGGCAAATTAACACACACGTAACTAACCGTAAGCGACACGCACATGGTTACATCAACCTACTTGCACAAACAAAGCTATCTAGTAAGAAATTCTTCCGGTTGAGGTTTACGCACGTGTTCGTGTCGCTTGCATGAGCAGTCCATCACAAGCCTTTTGTGAGCCTGCTCATTTGTCAGCGTTTCTCTTTGCCTCATTTTCTAATGTGTACAAAAACAATATTTGTTGATATTCAAGCTTACTCTGTGCTCGATTTTCCATCAACAAAACCTCCACTGAAGAGTCAAAGGGCTTTCATTTTCTCATTGATTTTATAGGGGGTCAGTTGACCGGGGGTCAGTACTTTGTCGAAACCCCTTTAATTTTGGGTTTGAACTTTGATGCTCTCAAGAGTGAAATTTTCAATGTTATACATGTATTTTAAGTTTGACTCTTGAGAGTATCAGAGTTTAAACCCAAAATTAAAGCTTTAATGATGGTAATAATTACCATTATATAAATTAGTTTCACACTACGCATTAATGAACAAACATTAAATTAACTTTTTCGTTTGGGAGCCAGCTGGCAAGTAATGGAAAAATTTTGGTCGCCAACTTATGTTATATATAACTCACACAAGAACATGATTTTATACATTACTTTGCATGCAAGAAAAGTCACAATTGAAGAGCGAAAACAGTTAGAAACAACATGAGTAACACTAAGTTATAAAGTTACCTTTGTTCTCAGGTGATATGTCTCTGGTCCGAAGGTGATGGTTCTCTCCATAGTCATTTTAAATGAAGCAAAGCATAAAATGTTTTAAGTCCGTGGTTTTCATTGTGAGACAAACACGAGTCCTTGCGTATTTGCGTATTTTATTCAACAACTGATGAAGGATTCAAAGTTTGGATTAACCTTTTGGCTGAATCTTCATTCCCCGCACATGCACGTAATTCCTTCAACTGATTGGTATCTGCCGCCATTTTCGCAGCAAATGAAAAGCACATGGTGTTAAAGGGCTGCGATCCCAGTTTCAGAAGAAGCCACTGAAACAATATGGTGCACCGTGAACGCAGTATCGACGTGTCGAAACACGTTCAATTTTTTCAATTATCTTGTAATATTCAGACATTATTTTAGTGGGGATGGAAAGGTGAGTTGTATACTAGCTACCATATCTGATTGATTTCCTAATATAAAGATTTAAAAACAAAAGTTGTGTTGTGGTTTTCTTTAGTTATCGGACAAAACGCGAGTCGCCAGCTGGTGACCAGTTCTGAAAATTTAGTCGCCAGTGCTCAATTTTTGGTCGCATTGGCAACCAGTGAGTCGCAATTTCGAGCCCTGAACCCACAAAAGTGTGGTTCTTGAGAGATTTCAATTCCAAAGATCAAGTAAAAAGGAAGTAAACACTAATTTTATTGGGTTAGTTCCATGAGGGGCAACATGGGGCATCTTGCCCGCTCAGGATTACCCACTCTTCCTCACAGTCATTGTTGTCATATTATAAATCCCTTTATTGACCAAGCTTATATGGTCAAGAATGTACATGTACACTTTGTTACTGGTCCCAGGGGAAAATAGGTAGTTTTGTTTTCCCAAGAGTCTTGATGTTTCCCAAGACAAAGCTGAGGGAAACACTGAAATACGAGGGAAAACAAAACTAACTGTTTCCCAAGGGACCAGTAATGAAATGTTTTGTTGAATATACAGCTGTAGTTAGGTGCAAAGGCAAGGAGAAGTCAAAGTAGTCTCTGGTTAATGGGAGAGCGGGTGACATATGTACAATTGCTTATAATTGTCACCTGCTGGGTGACATTTAGATTTAGCCATTGTCATGTGGCCATAAATCAACCAATAACAGCATGCGTTAGATTCAAGTAAACTCCAACTAATGTATATAACAATGTTGGATATTGCCCCCATTCTTGGCAAATATCTAGCCATTTTGACCTCGTGCTTGGTCAATAACCCATGTTTGTAGGATTTGATATATAAAAACAGTATCATGTGAGGGGCACCCAACAGATCGTTTCAGTAAATAATTATTATCTGTTTGGAAGGCCTTTAATCCCCTCTGATTTTCGGAAGAGAATTGTCACCTCGAACTTTTGTGATATGAGAAATGTCTGTTGTTTTCGGATTGTAAAAAATGTTGTTTTGGGTACTGAAAAAAGGTCAGCTATTATTTTCGGAAAGGCGATAAGACCTAAGGTTTTCGGTGAATGGCCAAAAAAGCCCTAATAAATTTGATAATACTCAAGTTCTCCTAGAATAACCGAACAGATAAAATATTTTAGGGCACCTAAAATTAACCTACAGAGTTTTAAAAGTACTCCAGATAGCCTAAAACAGCGTTTAAAAGCATTGTATTGTGCGGTAGCTTTCATGTGAGTGGTCACACATTAGTAAGAGTTTCTTCACTGTCTTAGGAGTTTATAAATTGCTCCGTACAGTGTATGAACAGTTCTATATGAAAGTACTTCACAACAGCTTTCAGTTGTGTGTGATAGTTTTAATCTGATTGCAATCTATGTACACTATTCTTTTTAATGATCAATATTGGAAATAGATAATTGAGACTGAATTTGAAAATGCCAGTTCCAAATAATTCATTCATTTGCTTTTATTTTTTTAGTTCTTTGTACTGTTGCTCATTGTATTTACATTGGAGGTTACAGTTGGGGTTCTGGGCTTTGTCTACAAAGATAAGGTACAATTTGTTTGAATTTTTTATACTCTTCTTAAGGCCTATTTTACAACTTTTCTTGAAACTTGCATGCAGAGCTGCTAGACCCCAAGACTTGTAACTGATCATCCGTAATGTTTTTCCTTGCAATGTGCATTTCAAGAAAATATCCATGCTCACCCCACAGAAGGGATTGGAATTTCCTGGGAGGGCGGGGAGGGGGGGTTCTCTAAGACCAAAACATTTAAAGAAATGTATCAAGCTTAATTGGAATTTCCAGAGGGATGGGTGGGGGCTTTGGAAAAAAATCACTTCCATGGGTAGGTATCTACACAATGTATGTGTTGTGCTAAAAAAATCCATACTTGTACCATAAAGAATTTTTTAACTAACATGTTTTGTAATGGTATAGATAATCGACTGCCATAATGAATTCAAGTATGGCATTTGCTTTGATCAGAGTACCAAATTGTAAATAATTTTGTTTCTGGCTTTCAAAGCACCTGATTTCTCACTGTTTGTGTGTCTTATCCTGACAGGCTCGAGGATTTGTAAACGATGGTTTTGTTGATGCCATAAAGAAGTATGATGATAAACATTCAACCTTGGATAAAGCTATAGATGATCTCCAGAAAGATGTTAGTGTGTTTACTTTGTGCGCCTAAAATTTAACAACAACTATGACCTGCCAATTTCCGTCCTGCAAGTTTTTCAACTTTAGGGTTAAGACCTTGACTCTTTCAGACTACATGCTTTTCCCATCAAAGTCTGGAGAAAATCTGGAACTTTGCTTAACGAAAATTCAAAAATAAGCAAACAGCAACACATAACAGTGCTGGCCAGGGGAAATCACTACAAATAGCATTTGTTTCTAACAATGCTAAGACAAGTGAGTCTCATGTACAGATTCAAAAGTTTAAGTTACCTTGTACAGCATTATAACAGCACTATAAGAAAATACTGCTCCATAGCCTTTAAAGTTAGTTCTTGAAAATGAAGACAAAATAGAGTCTAATCTGCTGACATACATGTTGAAGCAGCATAAACACCATAATTTATAGTACAATACTTACTGTGAATAACATAGTTTATAGTACATTTCTTACTGTGAATAACACCACAAAAGATCTACACATTTAACTTTCATTTGAATCATTACATCACACAATTAAGTTTCACCCACTCACACAAAATGTTGAACAATATTATACATGTATGACTTGAAGTTTGACTTTCAAAGTGAAACTGGTTTTAATTAGTTAATCCAGTGCTGTCACAAGTTTTTGATTCATTTTGCTTTTCAGATGTTGCTTTGCCATGGCCTCAGTGGCATTGCAATTCAAGTCCTTCTTTGTCTTTTCCTCATGGCTGATTTAGATAGTCATCCCCTTGAACTTTGGTGTTTGGATATCTGGTCTCAATTAGCATAGAGTTTTACGATTTTATTTCTCCATTTTCTCCTTAGTTTTAGTCTTGATTGAGAAGATATATCAAACTCAAGACAGTTACCACATTTCCAAACACCTCAAAGTTCATCCAAAATACTCTGCTGGAGGTCGTATTTTCAACTCTCTTCTCGGTGTTTGGAAATGTGGTCAAACACAGTCTTTTGTGTGTGATTTTTTACATGAAAAATGGGATGAGAATTTGAAGGAAGTTTTAAAGCCCTACAACAATCATAGTGTCAGACAAGTTTATATATGATGAAAGATGTGCATGACACTAACTAGCTGTGGAAGCTATAGAAGTTGCATGCAATGACATCTTAAGTACCACCTAGTAAATCCACTGTGAATGGATTGAAGCTAATTTTGTTTCTATGTGTACTGTAGTTGAAGTGTTGTGGCAGTAATCACCCAGCTGATTGGATGGCTTCACCATACTTCAAGAAACATCATTTGCAATATCCTGAATCCTGCTGTGATCCAGGTCAACTGGTTTGCACTCAATTGAACTGTTACAATGAGGTATGTACATACAGGCCTTTAAATCTACCTCACTCTGCAAGCACACGGAGAATGTGCACCTTTTTACTGAAGATTTTCATAACAAATTAAGGTACAGCTGGTCAATATGTACGTGTTGCAAATGTTTCCAAAAAATATTGAAGTTAGAACTTTTGAATTAAAACAATGTTAGTTAAGTCAGCTATTAAACCCATTTTTAAAGAAGTTATTTATACTGATGAAACAGGTAAGATAATATCAACATTGATTTTCTAATTTATACTGGCCTTGTCTTAAACTGGTATTTTTATTGTAATTATTACATTATTATAATGATGTCCTCAAGAGTTAATTAATCCTATTCTACAATTCACTGTCTACTAAAATTTTATTAGAGTAAAAGAAACACACACATACACACCTCACTGGAGCCCAAGACAAAAGACTTTTTCGAAAAATGCTAAATATTATATAACTATACTGTAAAAGTCCTGCAATGACAAGACAGTAGGTAAATACTTAGATCATGTTATGTCAGCATGAAATTAACTTTATATATTGCTTTTTCTATCTCCTCACTTTCCTCTTAAATTGCATGATGCTCAGCCAGTAAAAAGCCGTTTTCTTGTTGTTTAAGAAATAAAAAGTCTTTCTTTTTTACAAATTTGTTTTTAGGACAGTGTAGTATTACAATAATTGTAGACTTACATTTGATTAGAGACTTGTGAATTATAGGGAGGGCGTTTGTCATTCTGTGTATTTTTAGGGCTGCTTGGACAAACTGACTGAAGAGGTTAAGGACAACCTCAGCTATATCCTGGGCACTGCTATTGGACTTGCTGTGCTGCAAGTAAGTGCCAAATATCAACAGTAAATAATTATTATTCTCTTATCAGTTGGGTCAAAGTGTATTTACCAGTCTACATTGCTCCTTTTATAAATGTTGCCTGAATTTCAGGCTTATTTTCAAATTCAGTTATAAGCCATACCTTGAAAGGAAGAGGGGAATTAGAATGAATTCAAAGTTATTTGTTTTGTTTGTTTGTTTGTTTTTTTTTGTCAACAAGGGTATGTCCTTTTTCAATGCATTTTTGGGAGACTGTCTGCTATTTTGCAGGTGGCTGGAGATAAGATTTGACCGATTAATTATATCACACAAACGTTTCTAAAATTTATCTCGTTACATTTTGTTTTCAGCTGCTTGGAATGATTGGAGCATGCTTCTTGATGTGCTGTAGCCATGAGTCTGGTTACCTGAGACTCGAGGGAGGGTTACGAGTCTGATCAGTGCAATCAGACTCGTGTTGATTGAATTAAGTTGGCTGCTCAAGTTAACTGATAGATAAATGTATTTGAGCATTTTTCTTGTTTATTACAGTAGGGGATGTACTTAGTATCCATTCCTGAAAGTTACATGTAAATTATGTAGCTTAAAGGGCCTAGTTTGAATTAATGTGCTTGCACAACTTTAATTGATATTGTAAGGTTCAATGTAGGATTTTAATCAATAGAAATTGTACAGCTCATTACTATGTGCTCCTGGGATGAATCGTGATTTTTTTGTGCGTCTTTATGTTTAAACTCTTGCCTTTGGAATCTTCTTTGTGCCGCCTTTGTCCCTTTGTATGGAATTTTTTGTTAAGAATTTCAAATTTCCCGATGGTCTTCACACAAACATAAAATGCTGTCAAATCCTTCCACAAATGACAGATAATTCCTTTCATGCCTTTACCATAACTTTCACAGTTCCCAGAAGATCAGTGGAAATGATTTCCTCACGGAAACCAACTTTGAAAATTGGACCCTCTATCTAAAAATCAAATCACCGGTCCGCACATGCGCAGAAGTGTGTAACAGGCCCTTTGTAAAATTTATTTAATATTTTAGTAACTGTTAACTAAAAACGCAGGTCTTAAAATTTGAATCCCTAGTTACGATCATTTTGGACTATGAAATTGTTCACACTTTGGCTAATACTAAGTCAAATTTCTTGTCAAAAACGTTTTTTGTGAATCAAGATACCGGGACTTTGACTGTGAGTTACTTTAAATTTGACTACGTTCTACAAAGGCATGTTTTGTTGCTAGAATTTTGGGCGGAGTTTAACTTTCCAGTAAAGTAATTACCAGAAAATAGCGTGAACAAGCATCTTAAGCGTTTCCGTGTGCTTTATACAATAATCAACAGAGTCGTGTTTATATATGCTATTAAATACTGAAAGCAAACTTGGTCTTTGTAAGCATTATTGACGACAAATAGAAATTAGTGTAATTTATTGAAGAATACACAATAAAGGGAAATGTCATGGGGATTTTGCAAGTCTTGGTGATGTGCGTGGACAACATCATGCAACAAGAAGTTTCAAGTAAATTCTACCCTGGGTGCAAGAGGGTTTTTTTGTTTTGTTTCCGTGGCGAAACCGAGATCGTAGCTAGCCAAATAAAAACCCGAATTTGGTCAAAAATACTCCACTGCGCATTTTATTTAAACTCTCTTCTCAATGTTGGGAAATGTGGTCAAACACGGTCTTTCGTGATATATTACTCTTTGACACGCCAGCATTGACTAATCCTTAGAAGACTTTGGCTGTAAGTTTTCAATGCAAATCAGTTGCTAAAAATAACTACTTACGATCTGCTCGAAAAGGGCCGAGATCAGGACGCTGTTCACAAATTTTGAAAGTTGCAAAGTCTTACGACTAAGAGATTTCACAAAATATTTTTAGCGCAGCAGAGTAAAGCCCGCAGAAAAATTTAAATGGAAAATTCCCTGTTTAAACTCAATCAAATGCAAGCTATATCTTGTTCAATGTAAAATCTGAGGTTTTCGAAGCATTAAGTCAAGTTATGATGTTGCATGCTCTGATGCTCCACGCCGTATTTTCTTTAATATCATTGTCAAAGAATGACTTTGTTTCCTTACTGAGTGCAAAGGAAAAGTTTTTCCATCTCTTGACATAAATCATGCGCAGTCAAGACACATCTCTGTTGCCAGCATCTTGTCATTAATTCCCAGCATGCATCAGTGGTGTCCAGTGGACGCTCGGGGTATATCTCCTTTTCAACTGCCACCTTCATCGCTGCTACTGTGCTGTATTTATCATAGGCCTGTGGACGCCTTTTCCCAGATCCTTCGCATAACACCCACAGCAGGGACCCAAAGGCGTAGATGTCGTAAGAACAGTTGCTCCCTTGGCCCTTGCCGTGGTTTTTGTGCATCTCTAAAGATATGTGGAATGGCGTGCCTTGTCGTGTTCGCTCGAATGGTTTTAGGGGAATGGCCATGTTTATTTTAGCTGTACCATCTTTCATAAGCTATTGAAACAAAGGAATGAAATCAAACCGCTAAGAACTCTCGCAGCCTCATGTCAGCGGCTCCGCCCCCCCACCCTGGGTTCGATCCTCAAGCTGACTAGGTGTGATTGTAAAAGGGTAAAGCCATCTTTAACGTTTTTGCTCACGAGTAAATTAATCATGTGAGACAATGTCTCCTGGTCACAGACATTTCCCTTAATCACAGATTAATCTCTTCTTCACCTGTTCTTAAAAGGCGTGTAACCAAGTCCTGCATTTTCGTCCACCGTAAAGGTGATACCTATGCGATCTCTTGTATTTCATAACTTATTCCGTGTTCAGCTCTGGTGAAGTAGGCATTATCAGGAGCCATAATCGGGGACGGAGACCTTAAGTCTTGGGATCCGCGCGCACCTATGATATGGGACAATTTTGTGGCTCAAACTTTATCTGTCCTCTAAAAGATACCACGTGAGAACGGAAATGACAGCGTTTTTTATTATTTCTGGTGTTTTGTCCTGAACACCCTCAGTAAGACAACAATCAGTAATTTACACCCCCAAGTGAGACGACAAGCATTCCCGACCTTTTCATAAGGGAAATCCACCACCCCCCGTACAAACAAAAGAGCCTATCATCATACGAGCCAGCATACAAACTCACGAACAGACAAATGATGGTACAAATATCACAGTTTTCTCATGGTGGCTTTGCATTTATTTGTGAGAGGGAGAACAATGTTCTGGAATTGAGACAAGACGTGACATAAAATCCCAGATTTACTTCACGTGACACAGAAGCGTAAGAAGGAATCAAGGGTTAGCAAAAGGAAGAGCCGGCTCTCTTTAGCAATAGACTTGTACACTTTTCCTTTTCCAGAGCACCTCCTATACACGTTCAGTAAACAGGCGGCGTCTAATGTATTTGCGTTGCATTTCTCCCACTTTATGAATGTAGGGAAATACAAGCAAACATTGGCAAAGCCCATCCCAACCTTCTTTTTGTTCATGGTTGGCTGATTCCTGAACCTGGTGTTCTTCATGTTCTGATGGAAAAGGCAGAATTAGACGTGACTACCGCACTTCAGCAGGGTTTGCTTTCTCTTAAAACCTGACTGAAGATAGCTGGGGATGTGGCTAATGGGCTGAAGGCAATACACGCAGCACATTATATCCATCAAGATATCAAAGCAGATTCCATATTGGTAAGCTCTCAGGGAACTACATGCAACAAATGCACATTTCCTCCTAAAATGAATCTAATTTCATTGAAAAATCTATTTTCTTTTAAACACCTCAAAAGGGGTAGAGTTTTCAGTTTTTTTGTATAAAGTAGACCAAATTCACGATAGCCACGAATGGTTTTCAGCAATTTCAGAGTATCTTGGCTTTCCGCTTAGAAGAAAATTTCCCCATCAAAAAGAGTTTGATCGGAAGCACGTATTAAAATGCCTCCAAATATAAGCTTTTTGAATAAGACGAAAAGGATATCAGAATATCCGAAAACTGATACAGATGTGTTCAGTCAGCTCAAGTGAAACTCTGACAGTTAAATTAACAAATTGACGTTGGTTTTTCATGCGTCTGTCCTCTAGTGGATGATAAATTGTGTCATAACATTGTCAAAGTGGCTGTGGAACCACGAGCAGCAGGCAAGTGGTTCTGCAGTAAACTTTGACAATGTTATGACGAAATTTACCATCAATAAGAGGACAGATGCATAAAAAACTGACGTCAATTTGTTTTTTACAATAACAAGACCCCAAAATGGTCAAATGCCGGGAATAAATGAGGGAAAAGACCCTGTAAACTTGCCGTAAAGAAAGATAACTGAATTTTATTCAAAATGACGTGAGCATTGTCAATAGCTTTTCTCACTTTTTGATTGGCTACTAGAGTCAATAAAATCTCATTGGTTAAAAAGTTGACAGTTCGACAGCTGAAAGTTAAACTGTTGAAAGCTTGCCCAAATTGAAATTTTATCCGTCTGTACTCTTATAACTGATGATAAAAAAGAGCCAATCAGCATGCAAGAAATTAGACAGTTATTGTAAAAAGAGACTTTCGCCCGGTACATTGTGTTTCCCTGAGAAACATTACTGGGAAATACCTCAACTTTGGTACAAATCAATACTTTTGACCTGTTACTAGAGTCCGACTGAACTCTGAGCTTTTTGTTGTTATATTAGTTTTGATTTGCTGTTGTTATCTCAATAGCTTATGAAAGATGGTATGGCCAAAATAAATATGGCCAAACCCAAAAAGCCATTCGAGCGAACACAACAAGGAACTCCATTCCACATATCTTTGGAGATGCACAAAAACCACAGCAAAGGTCAAGGAAGTGATTGCTCTTACGACATTTATGCCTTTGGAGTCCTGCTGTAAGTACTTTGCGAGGGATCTGGGAACAGGCGTCCACAGACCTATGATAAATACAGTACTATAGCAGCCATGAAGGTGGCAGTAGATAGGGAGATATACCCTGAACGGCCTCTGAAAGCCACTGAAGCCTGTTGGGAATTAATGACAAAGTGTTGGTATCAGAGATGTGTCTTAACAGCACATGACCTGTGTCAAGAGATGGAATACATTATTCTTTCCATTCAGCGAGAAAATGAAATCATCACCTGACAATTTAGTAGTAAAGCACTCCAAAATGTCCTGACAATGGGCTCAAGCTAGAAACGTGGTCTTAATGTTCTAACTTCACTACAACCGTTAGAGACCATTATAAACTTCACATTGATAATCAGCTAAGTGTCTTGCTAACCTGCTGATGCATGACAACAGTTTTTTCCTTTTTTTTTTACAAATTCATCAGTTTGTCTATTGATATGATCCTATTAGGCTTTGGGAAATACTGCAAGGGCCTGTTTAAATGGAGATTAGTTGTCCTGTGCCCCTCTATAGTTAACCATCCAATGCAAGTTAACAGCAGTGGACTCTTTACATGAGAGATCACTAAGTTGACTCAATTGCTAGAGTGGGAGTCACTTGCTTTGAAACTAGGGTGACCTCTAGGCCCTAGCCTGGGAACCAACATTTTTCCATGCTTACAATAAAGCTATTTCCACCCACAAGGGCAAATTGTGACAAACAGAGCATGTACAAAACAGGGAGGGCCTGTTTCTTATCCACATAAAGAGGGAAATGAAACCCTTCATTTACCAGGAACAATTTTTCTCCAGTGTAACCAGGCCCTAAGAATGTAAGATAGGAATGAAGAATCCTCTACTGAGAAGTGGAAATTGAATGCAGTTTATGATAAGTGACAAAAATAAGCTGTATTAGACACGTCACTGAATTCACATTGGCTCATGTTAATTGACCATAAACTCTTTCCAGTAGAGTCTGTTGATTGGTTTAAAAAAGTGGCCAAATGTTTAAACTGGAAGCAAGCCCAGTAGAGGGTCAATCACTACTGCAAAAGATAAAAAAAGGAGAAAAAGGAAAGGCAAAAGAAAAAAAAATTAAAAAACTGAAAATCTTAAGATGTAAGTCACGTTCTGCTTTCAAAATGTTTATTTCTGTGGATACCCAAACAAAAAATGTCCTAAAACGCGGTGCTAGTGGAAAGAAAGGCATGCTGTGATGTTGCAAATGCCTTTTTGATTAGATTGGAGCTAATTTGGCTCACATCCAGGCGGAAGATCTCCAAAATGTCCAAAAAATGTGTTTTTGGCAAAAAGCTCCATGAGTCAAAGGGTTAATATAAAAAAAATCACTTTAATTTGCAATCTTAGCGGAGCAATATTTCATGACATTTGATTTTCATGAATTTCAAACTAATGTCTTTTTTGCGGTGTGAAAAAGTTAGTTTAAGGTGGCTTCATAGGGTAATCATTTATGGCATTGCCCGCGCATGTGTTATGTTTTGAATGCTGTTTTTGCATTCGCTTTCACACCCAGTCCTTTCAAACTTATTGCATGTAATAACGAATGATTAAATAGTGTTTTGCTATCACCTCTGTTAAAATTTTGGGCTTTCGTCTTGAGTTATAAATGCCCAGACAAATGTGTTTTTCACTGTGTTTGGCTTTATTTGTGATTTTCTT